CCCCCAGTTCTGCCCCAAAGCTTTGTCTAGTCAAGGGAAGGGAAGGGAATGATTTTCAGCGCTATGAAGTAATTCTTTAGAGGGGAGAAACTACTGCACTGGAAATGTTTCCCAACTACATATCAAATATCAAACAATGAGTTATTTTATATGTGGATTTCTTGGCTCTGGACATTTTCCATGCAGTAATTATGGTGTTTGCATTCCACAAAGTCATATATATTTTAAAATATATTTCAAAAAATGAACCTGGTCCATTTTCAGGTCACAAGAGAAATTTCTTGCCTTTTCTGGGTATTCTCTGTTTAGCAAGAATGCACTTAGTATACAAGGATAAATTATGGTGGCCCACGGGAGTCAGTGCCATATTGTGCAACTCGCACAAACACCCATGGGCTTGCAGAGGAGAGCTCTGTTTGTTCAAGAATAAGATCTGGTACTTCTCATAACGGGAGGTCATATTACCTTAAAATGCCTCTGCCCCGTGGCTCTGCCTGATGAATAACATCTGTTCCCATAACAGCTGCCGCTCCAGCAGGAGAGATGGGCTCCGTGGCATGACAAAAACAAAAGTAGTCCACAGGCAGTCCTGGACCGAGGGAGCAAGGGCCACAATAAGGAACAGAAACCCCACTACGGACCTGACTCAAACCCTACTGGAGCCAACAGCAAAGAGTCCAGCAGATTTCAGGGGGTCTTGGATTAGGAATCATAGAATCATAGAATCATAGAATGTTTTGGGTTGGAAGGGACCACTAGAGGTCATCGAGTCCAACCCCCCTGCAGTCAGCAGGGATACCGCCAACTAGATCAGGTTGCTCAGAGCCCCATCCAACCTGGCCTTGAATGTTTCCAGGGATGGGGCCTCCACTACCTCTCTGGGCAACCTGTTCCAGTGGTTTACCACCCTCATTGTAAAGAATTTTTTCCTTATATCTAGCCTAAACCTACCCCGATTTAGTTTAAAACCATTACCCCTTGTCCTAACGCAGCTGGCCCTACTAAAAAGGTTTTCCCCCTCTTTCCTATAGGCCCCCTTTAGGTACTGAAAGGCCGCAATCAGGTCTCCCCGCAGCCTTCTTTTCTCTAGACTGAACAAGCCCAACTCTCTCAGCCTGTCCTCATAGGAGAGGTGCTCCAGCCCTCGGATCATTTTAGTAGCCCTCTTCTGGACCCGCTCCAACACTTCCATGTCCTTCTTGTGCTGAGGGCTCCAGAGCTGGACGCAGTACTCTAGGTGAGGTCTCACCAGAGCTGAGTAGAGGGGCAGAATTACCTCCCTCGACCTGCTGGCCACGCTCCTCCTGATGCAGCCCAGAGTACGGTTGGCCTTCTGGGCTGCCAGGGCACATTGCCGGCTCATGTCCAGCTTTTTATCCACCAGCACCCCCAAGTCCCTCTCGGCAGGGCTGCTCTCAATCCTTTCTCCCCCCAGGCTGTATTGATACTGGGGGTTACCCCATCCCAGGTGCAGGA